GGAGAGGGAGGCTGAGTGAGAAGATGCCAGTCCACTGTCCAGGGAGCAGCATGTAATGGCACACAGGTAAATCCATGGAAAACGTAGCAACATATAGATTAACAGAAATGGGCTGAGTGTAAGTGTAAGAGCTAGTCAGTAGTAAGCCTGAGCTAATGGCCAAGAAGTTTTAATTAATATAAGCCTCTGTGTGTTTACTTGGCTCTGAGGCTGCAGACCGGTGGGACAAAGGAAATCTTCCAGCAACCATCAGGCGTTTTAGACAAGGACAATCATACAGTGTCACAGAGTTAAATAAATGTAACATAAACAAAAGTAACACACCTTAAAATAATGTTCCACTACAGAACCTAAAAGGTGCCATTTTTGGCTTTAGTCTATAACTGAAGTAACTTTGGCAAAAATCTACTTTGTTGGAATATTAAAAACAAAAAGACACCTGATGTGTATAGTTTACCCATGAGAGTTCCTGTCTAGAACTCGTCTGGCTTTCCTTCTGAGGAGGAAGCCCTGAAATACAGCAGTGCTTCCAGTTCTTGATAGCCTATGGAGATACTCTTCCTGCTCTCCTCCTCTCTCCCCCCTTCCTTTAAAAAAAACAGGAGCCTCTCCATTTTAAATGGGCTTTGTGCATGACAATGATGAAAAGAACCCGAAGGAAGGACACAGTATGCTATTCCTAAAAATGTGCGTTCTTGCATGTGGTAGAGACTCATCTCTGATGTATTTGTTCTGTCTCTTTAAGGAATTGCAGCAGTATCTTGCCAACCTGGCTGAGCAGTGCAGTGCTGACAATAATGGTGTGGAGCTCCCTGTGGTCATAATTCTGGATAATCTTCACCATGTGGGCTCTCTGAGTGATATCTTCAATGGTTTCCTCAATTGTAAATACAACAAATGGTAAGCTCTTCAAAATAATTGGAACAATCACGTTTAGAAATGGGGATGCCATTTGCTTCTTTGTACCTTTCCATGTTTTAAGACTTGTAGTGGATACTATTAGTGCAAGAACTTTTAATAGTATCCTAAATTTCCGTAGAATCTGTATGTGTGCTTTAGAATACCTGTTTATCCACAGCTATGTCCCGGGAAGGTTTTTTTTTTTTTTTTGCTTTTTTGTTTTGTTTTGTTTTGTTGCTTGTTTTTGTTTTGAGGCAGGGTCTCCTTATGTTAACCAAGTTTGCCTCAGCTTCCCAGTAATCCCCCTGCCTCTGTCTCCCCACACCACTGCACCTGATCTTTGGGAACTTTGATAGAAGCATTATGTCTTCTTTGATAATGTTAGTTTGCATAGATGTGTCGAAGTCTAGGATGCCGGTGTGGATGGTAGGATGGTCAGATTCTTTGAATAGGGACTGTGATAACCAGAAGGATACTTTTGAGCTCTCTATTCAGTCCCTACTATCAGTTCAACTCTTCTTGAGAGATGAAGTTAGTTCACTCAGATACAGGTTTCCTCCAATAATGCAATACTTTGTTAAAGTGAAGGGACAGAGTAAATCAAGGCATCAATAATAATATTAATAATATGAAAACCTGCATGTTCATTGGAGCATTGTCTCTAGAGAAAGACGTAGAGAGCACAACAATATAAATGGCATTAACCTTAGTAGTATTGGTATTCTAAATAATTGGTATTCTAAAAAAAAATCAAGCTTTGCTAGTGATAAAATCCTACAAATTAATCAGCATAACATAAAGGGATGAAATCTTACTGTGTGACTAAAAAGCTTTAAGGAGGCTGAAGAGATGGCTAGGAACACTTGTTCTTACAGAAGACCTGGAAGATGCCAACGCCCACAAAAAAGGCTCACAGTGGTCCATCACTCCAGACTTGGCACCCTCTTCTGACCTCCGTGGGCATCAGACACACTACATGAGAGAAAAGCACTCATACACATAAAATAAATCTAACTTAAAAAGAATCTTTAAATAACTGAAAACTGACAAGGTTTTGGTATAAGCATAAGAGCTCTAAGATATTAGCCTAACCTGGACGTGGTGGCATGTGCCTTTAATTCCAGTGTCTGAGAGGCAGAGGTAGGCATAGCTATGAGTTCAAGGCCAGCCAGGGATACATAGTGAAACATTCAAAAAAGAAAGAAAGAAAG